GTCTGAAGCACTTATGTTTGAGGAACCCAGAGAAACTCAGTCATACCCGATTGCAGCTCTGAGTCAGAGCCACCAGTTATGTTCATGAATTTAAAACAATGGGAAAAGAGAGGAGTGATTTGGGAATCTAAAGTGGTTTTTAATTTTAGTGGGGAAAACTGTCTTTGTAACAGATAAGTTATTTGTAAAAATAAACAAAAAAATTCTGAAATGTTCTTGGTTTTGTTGTTTTTAATGGAAATTTTGCTGAGTTGATTGTTTTAACCACTAGATGCCAGTATTGCGCTTTATAGGAATGGACTGTTCTACTTTCTACTTCATGAAAGTCTCAGAACCATTGGTCTTGGTAGTAAGGGGCAATAAGTGTGTTTGTGCATATAAAATCACCATATACTATTGGAATAAATGCAAATAAAGAAATCCAGTAAAAAAGTAACTTGAGTATGGTCAAGGAACAAAGTTAGGCTCTATATATACACACACTTTATTTATTTACTTATTTCATTCATGCCATTCTAGCCTTCCATCATGCTTTGCACAGCTCTGGGAACTATTTATTTTAATCATTGAATATTCAACATGCATATGTAGTCAGGTGAAGTACACACAATGAAAATTTGAGACTTTTTCAAAATATTTGGAGATACAGATATCAAGTCTTTATTTAAACAGTGTTGATAGATGAAGGTGATATAGTTTAACAAGTTCTTATGTAGGAAAAATATAGGAAAAAATAAGTATGCCTCTACATGTATCACTTCTTCAGACGTGTCAAATTGATAAGTGCTAATGATTAGAGGACCATTAGAGATTGTCTTGGAGGAACTTGTCTTATTTAAACCACAGATATCTGATCTGGTTTGAACTTTGTTATTGGAATGCGTGGTAGCATCATGCTTAGATCAAAAGAGCTCTCTGAGGCCTTCAGAAAGAAGGTGTAGAAGCCTATGAGTATGGGAAGGGGTTCAAGGAGATATCGAAAAATATTGGAAATCAATCATTCTGCTGTTCGGCAGATCATTTACAAGTGGAAAAGATTTAAAACCACTGCCAACTTGTCCAGGCCAGCCCAGCCCAGCCCAGCAAATTTAACCTAAGAGCGGGCTGTAAAATACTAAAGGAAAGTCTCTAGAACCCCAAATTTTCATCACAGGATCTGCAGGCAGCTTTTATCACAGCTGATGTAAAAGTACATCTACCATTACAAAAAGACTGCACACATGTGACATACATGGAAGGTGCACCAGGAGGAGGACTTTGCTGTCTAAAAAGAGCGTCACAACAAGACTAAGATAAGATAATCCTTTATTAGTCCTACCACAGGGGAAATTTACAACGGGGGAAATTTAAACTCTCCAGTATCTTGGCACGGACCATTCTAGAGCAGTGTGCGATGGACAGACGAGACAAAGAGTAAGTTGTTTGGCCACAGTCCCAGAAGCCATGTTTGACGAAAACCAACAACATTTGATCAGAAGAACCTCATACCAACCGTAAAGCATGGAGGTGAAACTGTTATGGTTTGTCGCTGCTTTGCTGCCTCAGGGTTTGGCCAACTTGCAATCATAGAATCAACTATGATTTCTCTTTCATACCAGCAGAGGATGTGAGATCATCTGTCAAAATGTTAAAACTGAAGAAGTGGACCTTTCAACAGGACAATGATCCCAAACATACAAGTAAATCCACCAAGGAATAGCTCAAAAGGAAGAAGTGCAGAGTTATGGAACGGCCCAGTCAAAGCCCAGATCTGAATCCCATTGAAGTGCTGTGGGAGGATTTGAAAAGGGCTGTGCATGCAAGAACCCCCTCAAACATTGCACAGTTAAAAGAATTCTGCATGGGGGAGTGGGCAAAAGTTTCACCCAGTAGGTGCCAGAAACTGGTAGACAGTTATAGGAAACACCTACATAAAGTTGTTTCTGCCAAAGGGGGCAGTACCAGATACTGAAGCCAGGGGTGCACTTACATTTTCAACACACAAAAATAACATCAGTTGTAATTTTTTTTTTTTAATAAATGATTGCAAGTCAAATTTCCAGTGTTTTTTTGTTTCATTACATGTTTATCTATACACTGTTTAACTGAAGATGAAATACTGATATGTCCACATAGATACATATATGCACATATCATTGTATCTATCCAAAATTCCCCAGATTTCCACCCATACACCTACACAACAACCCAAGTGAGGACAAGAAATCAAATGGTATTTAAGAATAAATGCAAAACACAAGAACAAACAGGAAAGAAAGGGGGGGGGGTGAGACTGCATGTTCCTTTTTGACAGGGTTGTACGGGTCAAGGGGTTTCAGCAGAACTGAAAATATGTTGAATGTTGCTGTTGTGTTTCAGACCTCGGCTGATGCTAGTATATGTGCTAGGTGCTCTGTAGTAGATTCATCTGTCATGTTATACGATGTTTTATGTTTTTCCAATTCAGTAATATTGGATTTTTTGCATTGGGAAATGTTAGGAGTATGGGAATAGTATTTCTGATTGGGGGCCACCTAAAAGGCACAACAAGGGTGACACTGGAATGCTGCTCCCCATACTTTGTTTGATTGTGTCCTGAATTTAAAAGCTTACATCTCCCACAACAAGACTAATGTTTGCCACCCAATATCTAGGCAAGGAAAATTTTGGAAAATGTTGCGATGGACAGACGAGTGGAAGAGTCAGTTTGACCACAGTACCAGAAGCCATGTCTGGCAAAGATCAGCGAAAACATTTGATCAGAAAAACCTCATACCAACTGTATAGCATGGTAGTGGAACTATTATGGTTTGTGACTAATTTGCTCAGGATCTGGCCAACTTGCAATCATAGAATCATAGACTATGAATTCTCTTTCATACCAGAGAAGAATGTGACACCATCTGTCAAAGTTGAAGCGGAAGAAGTGGACCTTCCAACAAGATAATGATCCCAAACATATAAGTAAAGCCACCAAGGAATAGCTCAAAAGGAAGAAATGGATGGAATGGCCTAGCCAAAGCCCAGATCTGAATCCCATTGAAAAGCTGTGGGAAGATTTGAAACCATAACCATGATTCATTGTCCAAAATAACAGTGAGCCTAGTTTTTGTCTATAATGTTTATAATGGCAAAAAGAACCATCATAAAAAGCAATATATTAGGCATGAGACAAATCATTTGTAAACATTTCATGTAACAGGTGTCTGATGTAGATTGAACACTTTAGTCTGGATCCCATCATCACCAGTGTAAACAATTCTGTCTCGGTGAGCTTCTCAGAAATGACTCATTTCACGTTAAACCACTGTCTTTGTTTACAGTGTAACTGCTTAATGCGCCCATGGTTATAAATCAATTGTGATTCATTTTAACATGGCCATTTTCCAACCTCTCCTTATCCCTTGGCTATTTTCTGTGCCTTTTAAGAGAGATATATGTAAATGATCTCTGTTCTGATTGGCTGCCCTCATTCAAAATGCAGTCCAGGCTGAAAAAACTTAATGGACAGAGCTCTACTGCTGTGGGCCGAACAGCTGTATACACCGATCAGCCTAACATTAAAATGACCTCCTTGTAGCTACGCTGATTGTCCATTTTATCAGCTCCACTTGCTGTATAGGTGCACCTAGTAGTTCTACAATTACATGCAGTAGTCCATCTGTTTCTCTGCATACATTGTTAGCCCCCTTTCACCCTGTTCAGGACCACCATAGAGCAGGTATCATTTGGGTGGTGGATCATTCTCAGCACTGCAGTAACACTGACGTGGTGGTGGTTTGTTAGTGTGTGTTGCACTGGTATGAGTGGATCAGACACAGCAGTGCTGCTGGAGTTTTTAAACACTGTGTCCACTCACTGTCCACACAACTATCTTGTTGGTCCACTTTGTAGATGTAATTTCAGAAATGATAGCTCATCTGTTGCTGCACAGTTTGCGTTTTTCATCAGTGGTCACAGGCCGCTGCCCACAGGACGCTGTTGGCTGGATGTTTTGGTTGGTGGACTATTCTCAGTCCAGCAGTGACACTGAGGTGTTTAAAAACTCCAGCAGCCCTGCTGTGTCTGATGTTTTATTTCATCCATTTGGAACAGAAGAACAGCAGTTTTATCTAAAAAAAAAGACAATATTAATCATAAAATAGCATTAATATTTCTTGTATGTGTAAAGCCCAATCACTACAGTGTATATCATGGATTTGGGGAAGGGGGGCTGGGGCTGAAAATCCTTGAAGGTGGCCTGTATTGGAATGAAACCCTTCATATATACAGTCACCTTATATTTCTATCTACCCCAGTTAAACAGATAGTCATGGCTGACAGTCTGTGTTCCTAATCGCTTAGGTGAACATTAAAACATAAAGTATGAATGGGAAAGATTCAGATTCAGATTTTACTCATAAGAATTTGTAGGGGTGCCAACAATTGTGGCACATACAGATTTGAGAAAAACATGATAAGATTGTTTTTTTTTTCTTTCAGTCATTGTCCTTAATTAAAGGTTACATATTTGTTAATATTTTGAATGAAGGAGCAAAAAGATCAGCAATAATGTTTTTTACCGCCTGTTTTGATCATGTTTGCCAGGGGTGCCAATAATAGTGGATGGTGCTGTAAATATGCTGGTTTTCATGACCTCACAAAAAACAATGAAATCAAAACAGGTTGTTTTTGCAGCTTAGTTTCCGTGTATGGACTGAGTTGCATGTATTGAAACTTGTACCAGTCATACTACACTCAGGTTTCCATGATATCAGCCCATTTTACAGTGTAGTTAAGCATAATCTTTGATAAACTTTGGAGGAATTTCCCTTCATCTTGAAAAACAGAGCTTGCATCATTAATTGAATGCTGCCATTAAGTTTTCCGTAAGACTTCAAAGTTGTTGTCGTCGTCTGCCGTGCGCTCTTATCAGAAAGCTGTACGTAACCTCATTATTTTCACTTACCATGTTTTTCACATACATTCTGAAGAAACAAAAACCAGAAATCACATTTTTGATTCATTTTTTATTAACAGATTTAAAGCACATATGGACAGTACAGGCAGAAAAGCTTTTGCTAACTGTTAACACACTTTTGCTAGCTATACCAGCTTGGCTAGCAATAACACAGGCCTCATTTTGAGGTTACGAAATAAAACAACTCACTGCTGTAATTAAAAAATCCTCAGTCTACACACGAGTGTGCGGAGATGACATTGTTTTTAAGGTTTGCTTTGTGCCGAGGCAGCAAGGCCAAAACCTGTGGTCAGCTAAGAAGCTATACTTTAGCCATAACATAGGCACTTCTCTTCAACCTCCTTTCTTAACTTTAAATCAGTCAGGATACGTTTGCACTCGATGGAGGTCGGCCTCCGCAGATTTACATTCATTTTACACGGAACGAGTCATGCTAACATTGCTAAGTATGAATGAAAGCTAGTACTGAGCAGTTAGCATTATGCAAACTTCATCCCCAATAATTCTCACTCATTCTCAGCCATGATAGCGGTTTTGGGGTGACTCACCCCAGCAAATACATTCAGCTAGTCATGATATAGTACATGAGAGTTTCACATCAGTTATCACATGTAAGAACAGGTGCTACTAAAGGGAACATTTGAGCAAGCGTTTCAGAATCAGACAAGGTTGCAGATGCTAACAAGTCACTTGTTACCAGTCTAGTAAACCCAGAAGGGGATCATATGACCATTTATTGATTTGTGAAGGACATACGCCTGCAACCAAAGACCTTTAATGTTTGTTTTTTTCCAAATTTCAATAATTAAAAAGAAAAAAAATGCTACATTGTATGTACAAAACCACTGCACATTGGCTAATGAATCTCAGTAGCACAGCGTAATGCTAATAACTCATTGACTTTGTGTTTGGACATCTATTTTACACTAATGGACAGCATAATGTCATAGCTTTATTTTGTATGTATTAGCATTGTTAAACCTGGTATCATAGACAACACATTTTTAGGTGGGCAGTATTACAAAGCACTAGTTCTCTGTACTTTACTAATACAGTCTCATGCAATAGTTTGTACACCCCTGGTCACATGACTTTTCTAAGTTCAAATCCTCTACAGAGAACACAATAATCTGCTCATAATAAAGCACAATTACTGTTTGTTTGCTATAAAGAAAACATTAAATGTGGCTTGTGCAAAAGTAATGGCACACTTTCTCTTTTCCATTTTATTTTTCGCACCAAGTTTGCAGAAAAAAGCCATATTTACGTTGTAGAGAATGCGTTAACTTCTTTGCACTTAGAAAATCATCAAAACGTAATATGAGTGTACATGGATGCTGTCATATCAAAACCTCATAACTCCGTTTTCTTATCTTTATGTCTTTGTATTATTTGAAAATGTAATGACCCAGAATCACTTACCAATATAAGTCATAGATTACTTAGTAATATATATAACTAATCTGTTACAGTTAACAACATTTTTCCTATGAAGATACAATTTCAGAGCTATGAAGTTTCATTATGACAGTATTCTGGTGGCTGGCTTTGAAATTCGCCACCAACTCGTGGTGTTTCACAGTAAGTGGCTGTTCCTATATTTCTGTATTAGCGTGACCAGCTCGGTTGTGTCCAGTGTATGTGGATATAAGCTCATAACTTGATCCACAATGTTCTGAGGGAAGATTGTGCTGAGCTGAGACCTCACGTCCTTCCTTCTGTCCGTCATATGGTTGAAGGCTCCAGCGTCCCTGGCTTCCGCCTGCCCTTGACCCCAGCCGACCTCTGCTAACCTAGGATAGGATGCTTGTCTGGCAATTAATTTGGGGTAAGGTAAGGGATCATTTAAAATGGGTGTTGCCATGTTATTGTAAGGGCTGTGTGGTCGGTATCCATGCGGTGAGTAAGGCGTACGAGTGTAGTTAAGGCCCAAATCTGAGTGGGTGTGTTGGCAGCTTGACAGAGCATGTAGCCCATGGCGGTAGGCGCGACTGTATATGTCAGGACTGTGTGCTCGTTTGTGCTCTGTACACGAACTGTCCGATGGGAAGTAATCGCTGTCACTACCTGCTGTGCACCCACTGTAGGCCAGAGAGGTTGGGAGGGCGGAGTCACTGAGATAAAGGCGGGACATGGAGCTCTCCATTGAACCGTACGCTTGGTCGCTCTTGGCGCTCTTACACAAGGCGGGAAGTGACCTCTGCAGGTAGGTTTGTCTTGATGATGTTTCTCGTGGGCTGTTGTAGAGGTCAAGTCCAGACAGGGCGCAGGTCAGCTCATCCTGGTATGCTGAAGACAGCGTGGTGGTCGTCTTGCAGTTTGCGTGCCTGGGTCCGTTGGTGGCGCTAGCATAGCTGGGGTGTGGAAAGTGTTCATGTCTGAGGTCTGTGGAGGGAGGGAACTCCTCGGTTTCGCAACCTGGATGACTCTTCGCTCTTAGCTCATCTGCCACAGACAGCTGGGGTTGGCTGGAGCGCTCGGGGTGGTAGAACTTGCATTTTACACCATAAGTGCACTTCTTTCCTGTGAAAAAAAGAGGGTGATTCACAGTTAATATCCACACAGCAGCAGTTAATGGGTGTCAATGCAGGTGCGAAGGCACATTCAGAGATAGCGTAACAGTGAGCAGACTTAGCAGTGTAAGCTAATTCACGCTAGCTGCGGTCATGGCACTGATGTTCATTTTAATTTGGGTATATCAGGTCTTTTACAATATCTTTGAACAGTGTTCACAATCAATTTCAAAAATCTCCATAAGAGAATGTTTCATATATGTGTTCATTATATTTTAAGTGTCCTTAGTCTTTGACGCTTTGCCATCCTTTTTCCTCATTGTTTGATTGATTCATAGAAAAGGCTTCCAAACACCTGCAAAAGGACCTTCTGGCTTTATGAATATGTACGTGACCTACCATATGGGCAGTGCAGCTGCTTGTTCTCTGGTCCTGTTGGCTTCTTCCTGAGGAAGTTTTCAATTGTTGGGCCATTTCTTCCTAGTGGATCATCAGGTGGCATGAACCTTAATTTGAAAAAAAGAAAAAAAAAAGACATATATTACAAGAAAATACAAGAATCCATTATGATTTCAATGTTTGACAGAAGTGTAATATAGAATGGTAGCCAACACATTGCTGGAAAGGTTTAGGCAAACAGGAACCAAACGCAGCTCTAAGGTGCAGAGATCGCAGCCTAGATTAATGCATTTGCTATGCGGAAGGTGCTGACAGTATGTTTCCTCGTTAAAAGAGTACTATGCCAAGCCAACCCGAGGGCAAGGATTGTCAGCTCAATGTCAAGTTACAGCTGAACACTTAGGTCACATTTCTTGCATGTGATTCAAAAGCATGGTTTAGTTTTGGGTAAAAGTTTGTTAGGGTAGCCCACTGAAGAAGTTTTGTAGATGCTTATACTAAGTTTAACCTCAAACCAAAACCTAAACCTAACCCTCACCCTGCTCCTGTACTTAACCCTGGCCCTAATCTTAACCCTAATCCTAATCCTAACCTCAACCCATGTCTGAAACCTAACCCTTACTCTGCTCCTGTACTTAACCCTGGCCCTAATCCTAACCCTAACCTTAACCTGAACCCATAATTTATCCCTCACCCTGGTCCTATACTCAACCCTGGCCCTAATCCTAACCCTAACCCTAACCTTAACCTTATAACCCCAAACCTACACCTAATTCTCACCCTGGTCCTGTACTTAACCCTGATCCTAATCCTAACCCTAATCCTAACCCCAGCACAAAACTAACACTCACCCTGGTCCTGTAACTTAACCCTGGCCCTAATCCAAATCTTAACCGTGACCTTAACCATATAACCTAAAACCTATACCTAAACCTCACCCTGGTCCTAAATTCAATCCTAGTACTAATCCTAACTCTAACACTTAACCTTAACATCGTTTAAAATCAGAGCTAACATTTTACACATAGAGAGCCAACAGTGTCCTACTTAATATAATAAGAATTACTAGGGTACATTTTATTTGATTATATTAATAAAAGATATCGGAGTTGATTTCAGCAGAATGGCCACTGTATAGCTGCATAAAGAGGTCCTCTGAGTTCAAATCGCTTCTGATTTGTAGCTCTTTGAAATAAATGGTCAGTGTTTGTCGAGAGGAATCCAAACTTCCAAACGATACCACATTTGTGTTCGGAAGTAGAAGAGAACGTGGTCTTGTTTGTGGAAAGGAACGCCATACCTCACTCTTTTGACTTCAGTGGAACGAATTAATCGTGTATTATGTGTGAGTAATTAATGTAATGGGAAATGAATGTGAACAATAATAGCTCTGCGCTTCTAAGACTGAAGTAAGACTCTGTTGAGCAACAGCTTCTTTCCCTGAGGCTCTTCCTGGGTTCATTGCATGCAACCACATACTTGTGATGCTGTCACTCACATGTCATTGGCGAAAGTGTACATCAGCAGCCTGTCCTCGATGAACTTCTTCCACTGGGGTTTTTCCACCTGCAGGTCTCGGTAGTTGTCGTTGGACACAATGATGCCGTCCGAGTCATAGGCCAGCTTGATGATGTAGCGGTCATCGTAGCACACGACCCTTTTACCGTTCACACAACGTGAAGGTGTGTACACCAGGATGTTCCTTCTCTCCAGCTCGCCTAGGATGTGCTGATCTGAAGGCAGAAATTAGAACCGTTTCTGAGAAAGACCCAAGAATTGAAGATGCACCCACACACAATCTACAGTCATGCACTGCGTAATGATATAGCCTAGATGTAAGATGACCTAGAAACGCTGCACTATCTTGAATAAAAGGAAGGAACTAAGCAGCTGTCAACTAAGATTTAATGTTCTTTCAGCTTTTACCAATGTTAACAGGCACATATTGAACATTTAGGTTGAGTATTTCTCACTTGTAGCTTATTGATACCATTTTATGCTCAAATTTGTGAAAAATGTGTGTTTTCTTGAATTAAATGACATTTTATTATGATATGGAAAGTTTTATGCTTTATTTATATTCTTCTTCTTCTTCATCATCATATTATTATTATTATTATTATTAATTTTGTACACTTAAAAATGACAGTTCTTCAAGAGTTCTTTAGTAAAGACCATGAACACTCAGAGAACCCTTTGCATGATTAAAGGGTTCTTTGCATTGTTAAATGTTTCTTCATATTGGGGGAGAATATGCTCTAAATGGTTCTATATAGCACCAAAAAGGGTTCTTCTATTGTTACTGGCCTGACATTTTTCAAATTCAAAACGTTGTATGTTGAACCATATAAACACATTCTCTATCAATCTGAAGAACCTTTCATGATGCAAAAGAATCCTTTAATCAAGCGTTATTTGAGTGTTCATGGTTCTATATAGAACCATTTCTTTTACTAAAGACCCCATCAAGAACCGTGAAGTGTGTGAAGTATATCAAAAGCATAGCAAAACAACACTAGACTTCAAAATATTGATATTGTGATACCTTTGTGTCTTTTGACTGACCGCTTGACTACAAATCTTTCTGCAACAAGGTTGAATCAGCGCTTAGAATGTTTTCTCACTATTGGTTGAGGTTATTAGGTGTCTAAAAGCTACTGTTCTGATTCAGCGTTCTCAGTTTCAGATGGCGTCACAGAAGGACATTGACTTAGCCTGTCGGCTCGAGTGCTTGGCCCCCCTAAAGTTACCATGAAAGGTTGTGTCTGAAGTCCTACCTGTAATAGGAGCCTCAGGCCGTGACTGCTCTTTCCTCCACAGAGGCACGAATACGGTGATGTCACGAATTCCCCTGTCCCAAAACCACTGCACAGCCAGCTGGATCCCCCGACACGAAAACACCTGCTTATTCCCATGGCTGCAAATAAAAAAAACATATCCATGAACTATTATCCTCAAAATCTCTCTGAATATATATTTGTCATAGAGGAGTTTATCTCAGTGGAAAAAGAATAAAAGAAGTGGTCAAGGTGCAAGTAGAATGTTTGACTGCTGTTCTGATGTCCATTGGACATTTTCCACAGTCATGAGTTGTCATGAGTTCGGTCATCGCAGAGAGAGGTCATGACCTACTGGGAAAATATTTGAAGTGTGTTGTTCTGCATTGACAGCGGAACTCACACTATTAACTGTTCCCCATTGGGCTAGTTTAATGTTGGTAAAGGAAGAGAATGAGTGGCCAAATATTGAAGTTGCTGTCATAATTTATAGGGGTGTAAATCAATTCTAATTCTTTTGGAAGCAGCTCAGTACATTTTGAACCAAATTTCATCACAGTTTCATTTGGTTAATAACTGCATGCTTCAGGCTGGTGGAACTATTAGAGTATAGACAGTACAAACAATGTAGCCCTAGAATTAGCCCTAGAATATTGTTTTGTCCAAAAATTAGCACACATTTTGTTTAAAATTGCTTCGAATTGATTCCAAAATTCCAAAATCAATGCAGCCAACTTCAGATTGATGCAGCAAGAAGCATGACTGCATTTTTATACCCTTCTTCATTCAGAAACAGTGTGTTTGAGAGTGTTTCCTCATGACAGAGTTTGTGTGGGGCTGACCCTCCCAAACCTGAGGAAAACGTGCTCATTGATCTCTGTGGCTGACTGGAACAGTGAGTCACAGCGCGTGACGGCAATGCCAGGCCGAAAGCACAAATTCACGTGATACTCACAGTGCGGCTAACCGAGGCCGCTCAAAACACAGCAGAGACTTCTTTGCCAGGAATTTAATCCTATTGTACAGTCAGTGATGCAAGGCCAAACATTGGTTGACCTAGTATTGCACCATGAGGCACCTCACCCACTGCTTGCACTTTGCATTTTAGTTTCTTCAGCAGTAGTGATGTCACGTCTCGGATGTTCAGAAATGCCAAGCCGTGCAGCAGGTAGGTGTTTATGCAGTGCATGCCACAAATAATTGGACCCCTGAAACAAGGTCAATATATATTGAGAGGTCTGGGATTCCAGTAAGAGTGTAAAATGCCACCCTTTATACTGCGTATGACTCAGTTAATCCTAAGACATTCAGTAAAGACTAAATGAAACAAAAATTGCATTTGGGAGTCTTTGAAGAGTTTATGAAGCTGAAGTTTTGTGTTGCAGAAAAACAAAAACAACACACATTCTCCCTGTCCAATTACTTATGAACTGCACTTTATATTTGTGTGTGCACGCTTGTTTTTACATTTGCCTCTGTACTACGGTAACCTAATTCTGGGCCTTCCCCTCTTAACCAGTGTCAGGAAACTGAAGAGCACTTTGCATACAACACACACCAAAAATGAAAAATGAACAACATACTGCAGGCCCGCAGGCTGAAAGCGTCCTGCTCAATAAATAACATGTTCATTGTTAAGGAAGTCACTCTATGGATGCCGTTGTCCAGGAAGTACTTTGCAAACAGCCCAAACCGCCACCACTGAGATTTTCAATCTTGTGGTTCAAAACGTCCTGCTTTGGAAACAAAAACACCCCACGCAGGTTGCACAACTGCTGCAGAAGTGGGCGTGCATGCACTTTGCTTCGGCCGCCCTAGAAATTCATCTGCGCAACTCTGACAGACTGTAAGTTGGCCTCTTTAACAAGGGACACACAAACGGATTTAATTAGTAATTCAGGTGGCAAATCGACAAGGCTGTGCTATGATGAACTACGATGGCCTTTGAGAATCACTGAAGCATTGCGTCTCACCTGATTGTGCGTCACCCCACTGGGCTTGACTCCAAAGTTCAATGTGTGCAAAACGAGAAGTCTCTTTGCAAGTACTTCTCTATTTAGTTTCAGAGGAATTGATACCGAGCTGAAGTGAGATTCACATTTTCCCCTAGCTGGGCCTAAGATGGGCTGACCTGATACCAGTTTTCACCTGTTCATTTTTAAGTGGTGTCCAAGTTGCATTAATAAAATCTGGTCTTAAATAAATCATGGTCCAAATATACCATATAGTGAGCTAAAGAACTGGGGCCTAGTTTTCATTAAACTTTCAAGAACTCTTATGTAATGTTTCAGTGAAGGAGCAGTACATTGAGTGCTAATGTAATACTGTGGTCTGGTTGTTAATATAACATAATTGGTATCTTGACCTTTTTAAGGTGCCAAACAAGCATGGGGCATAGGTAAAGAGAATGGTCAGCCACAGGCCAAAATGGCTCGCTGTTTCATTTATTTTCAAATGAATTAACTTATACCATTCTTAAAGTAGAGACAGTTTGATAGTAGTATTCTGGGTAAGCTAGAAACCTCTATTTGGTCCAATTCTGTTAACATAGCTATACCAAATCTTCTAATTACCCCAAGTCATGTTACATTAATAAATAAAAAGACTGCAGTTTTGGCTAATGATGATTCGGTAGGTCTAACTGTACAGCCTAAGTAGAAGATTTGGTATAACTGTGTAACTTTGGTTGAGCCGTTAAATGGAAAGCTGATGACCAGTCCAGATTATGCAGTGGTAAAACACTGAAAGTTGATATCAGTCTCTACATTAGGCAGCTAATTACTGGCTTGTTTATGAGGAGTGTGTGTGCTGCATCATGAGTGAACTAACCTTATAGCCACGTTGCTTCCATCAATGACCACTGGCCTGAATGGACTGGAGGCCTGCATGTCGGAGTATGTTTGCCGCTGTCCGTGTGTTTCCATCTGTGATTGTGCCTGAGGGGAACTGCAGCCTCGTGGGATGAGCTGAGGACTGCTGCTGAGAGAGGAAAGTGCAAAGTAGTAATATCTTTATATATATATCTTTAAAAGATGCTAAAATTTGTTCTTAATTGTAATGTGAAAACTGCACTGTGTAAGGTTTTATGTTAAACATGCAAAAATAAAATGTTTTTTGCTTCTGCTAGTCATGGGAGTTTTGGTGGGATTTTTTTGGACCCTGTCATACGTCCTTTTTTTAAGTTTTGACCTCTCTTTGAGTACTCTCTCAATGCACAATCATCAGATTCATCCAGTTGGGGAAGGGGTCTGAAACAAACCCCACATTACAAGCTGCATGCAATTACAAATTTTCACCAGAGAGGTCTCCAAATCCCCAAATCTTACATAGTGTAGGTTTAATGTAACAAGTAGTTTTGGTCCATTTTCTATTAGTCCATTCTTTGATCAGACATTACAAGTGGCAGCTGGTGTTTTCAAGCTGTCTAAAATAAATCCAGTTACAACCCAGACATGACAACAAAAATATATTAATAAGGAACTCATTTTAGACCTTCAAATTTAGTTCCTAATTTCTTTTGTGGGTTTAATTTCATTCTGCTTCAGCTCCTGCACGGCTTTCCTGTTGATCACACCTCTCACTTTCAAGCATTAGAATAGAAGGATACCATACAGCCTACCAAACCTCAGCTGCTATGCTGAGTGCTAAAACTTGTCAATTCAGTTTAATATGAATCTCTAACACTTTTTACTTAAGTTATTTTTGTGCTAAGCTGCTTTTAATACTACTTCAGTCATTATTACTTTAAAGTAATTAATAGCATCTTTACTTGAGCTGTAGGTTCCTCTACCCACCTCTGGCTGCTGGTCACTCTCTCCGGTCCAGGCTTTGTGCTGGTGGGTGTCCGGCAGGTCTTGATGAGCTCCTCCAGGATGTCGTTGGTCTGGGCGTCCTGCTGAAGGCTCTGCAGGACCCTCAGGATGTCAGATTGGGAGTAGCCCAGCTTCAGGAAGCGCTTCACCTTGTTCTGCTGACGGTCCATTTCACCACACCTCAAAGATGTCCTCCAGAGTGTCCTTTGACCTTAGGGTGACTTCTTTGTGGCTTCTTTAGTCATGCGTGTGTGAGCTCTTTGTGTGATCTGACCCCTTAAACTTCAAGCTTGTGTACTTTTTTAGGCTTAAGATGAATTGAATATCTATGAAAACTAATATGTATATATTAGTTATGCAGGTAAATAACTGAAATGCTCAAACAGGTGTAAATCCTCAGTAAAACAACCATAAATAGAGTAGCAGCTGGTTGACCTGTAGACTAACCTAACAGTCTAAGTACATTGACACTTCTAAGTTGTAGTAAGTCAAGGCAGTTGAACTTCTCCTGAGTGTGGCTCCTGTTTTCATGCGTCTGCCCCCTTTGGTGTCTTGTCTTTTTATCAGTCCTGTGTAGCGGCGTTCCCTCTTTTGTCTTGATGGGGAATCCTTTGCTCCACCCACTCTCAGTCTTCTGGTTTCCACGGTAGTGCCCACTTCTTGTGGAACAGTTGAGTGTGCGTCTGAGGAGGCGGGTTCTCTCTGGGTATACACAGAAAGGTCGGCGTAGTGTTAGGGGCTTTTACACTCCCAACGCATTGCACATCTTTATCCACATATTCGTACAAAGCTATTTTTATAAGCCAGAGGCATCTGCATCAGCATGACGTCATGAGGCAACCACAGAAGATGGGTTTGTGCAGCTCTTGTGTTGCACTAGCTGAGTTGCAGCTATTGACACAGTTAGTGTACATGTGTTGCAATGCGCTGCTTGCGTCAGTATTAGGGGAAATTCGCATATCAAAGAGTCATTTAACCCTTTGAAAGGCATATTCAGTTATTACTGTATTGTCTTCTTATTCATGTCAGCTTTGGACCGGTTTTGGGCCTATTGTTGGTAAGGATGAGTGGGTAGGCTTCGTAGGCCTTGGGATGATTAGAGAGTTTGGTTTAGCAGTGTTAACCACTTAAACTGCAGTTTTTTTTTTTTTGCTGTTACTTATCTGAAGACTTACTAATCGGGGCAAGTTCGGGCCAGTTTTGAGACAGTTTTGGGTCATGATGGGTGGTTGGGCTGTATAAGCTTTGGAATAATTAAAGGATTTGGTTTGGCTTTGTTAACATAGCTAAGATTAATAACTGAATAATAAGCCTGCAGTTTGAGGGGATTAAATAGCTAAACCATATATGCTAATTATTTGCTAATGATCCTTAGGCCTATTAGCCTTAAACACTCACCAAAAACTAGCCCAATATTGGCCCTTTGAAAATTTACATAAAGCCAAATTCTTCAATTAGCCAAAAGACTATGAGTCCGACTTGTTCGTCATTACCCAAAACCGGCCCAAAACTTGGTTTTCTCTGAATAATGAGTCTGTATGTTAATAACTGAATAATATGCTTGCAGTTTAAAGGCTTAACACATCTAAACCAAATGTTCTAATTATTCCATTTAGCCTTAACAACTCATTACACAAAACTGGCCCAAAATTGTCCTGAATAATGAATCTTAAGGTTAGTAAAATAAGTCAGTGCAAACTGGTTGAGCTATTCTTAGGTTATAGAAGTGTGTAAAAACTTTGGGCCTGCCAGTGGGCCCTGCTCATTCAAAGGGTTAACATATCTAAACCAAATTTTTATTACCATCCCAAGGCCTATTAGCTTTAGCTTCTCAAAACTGACCCAAAACAGCCCTCAATAGACATTTTTTACACTAGTGACTAAACAGTAAGACTGCAGTTTAAGGGGTTAACGCAGCTAAACCAAACTCTCCAGTTAACCCAAAGACTATTAGCCATAACTAGTCATCATCACCCATAATCGGCCCAAAGTTGGCCTGAATGATGAGTCTATAGATTAATAACTGAATAATAAACAAGTAAATAATAAGTCTGCTGTTTAACAGTTATTCTCTTAAACCTCAGGCTTATTACTTACTTATTAATCTTAAATTCTATTGTTCTGTCTGTGAATTATTCAATATTCACTATGGAATTATTTCAGAGTTATGCAAGTGAGGAAATGCAGGCCCACATATAGACCTTAGGGTTCATTTAAACATGCTTCTGGAATAGAAGACACCACACAAACCACTAAACTATTATTATCACCATGTGTGTGCAAGTGTCTGTGCATCATACATTAATGGAAAGTCCCTGGCTTTCTCCCATCTTACATAGTGAAAGCATTACAAGTGTAATGTGAAAAGCAGAAATAGCTTTTTCACATACACTACCTGCTATACACACAGCTGTGGATGAAGATGAGGAACTCAGAGCGCAATTCCAAAGTAGAACTTTGAAAGTGTCTCGGATTACATGGATCTAAACCACAGATGCAGCTTGCAACTAAGAAGCTTTATTTTGATGGACCCCGTAACTTCAGCTGTTAGCAGTTATAGTTAGGGTGACGATTAGCACCGGGATTAGAGTTAATGATAGGATAGGGTTTAGAGGTCATGTTTAGAGGGTTATAATGTCATGTATGTGCAAACATCTACAATTGACTGTAAAAAGTTGTTACCACTCAACAGCGATGGATATTAAAGAATGGATTTGACTTTGTCCCTTGGGTGACACATGCTGACCTAGATAACCACATTTGTAAACATTACTAAACACTTATTCCAATAGGTTGGTAGGAAGGGTTGCATTTATGCTGTGCCATGACACTTTCTGGAGTGAAATGACAGACTTTGTAGCTCGCAGTGACCCAATGCTGGTAATATGACATAACTTACCACGTCAGGCTGGTTGAACAAAAGGGACTGTTTTCCATGGCCTTTGGGTGAAGTGCGTTTATGAGATTTCAGCAGTGCCACATCATCAATGTTGTGTCATTGATATACAACAAGCCAGAAAGTCAGCTGTTATGACATGCTCCATCATTTCACCTACACTTGTCATGACACCATGACAAAATCTGTCACCAGAAATAGGTCAACTTATTGGAATAAGCATTTATAGATGTGTGAGCATGTGTAAGTCAGTTGTCATGACACGCTTATGTAAGTGTCATGTAGCCCTATTAACACTGCTCTAAACACTCCCCTTGCAGTGCAGTCAGTCATTCATTCAGTCAAATGAAACCACTTAAAAGACAGTAGATCCTGTAGATACTGAGTAATAAGCCTTTTATGAGATTAATAACTGATAATATGCATGGAGCGTAAGGTTTCTACTTTCTAAGGCTACAGTTGCTGTGACCAGACCAGGGTTTGATACCCTGCTCAGGCAAGAACAACCCACTGTATGAAAATGGAGAAGAATCCTCACTCTACAGTGGTCTACCACTGTAACATGGCTCAATACAGGCCTTGGGATAACTAGAGGATTTGGTTTAGCTGTGTTAACCAGGTCTATCATTTAGTTATATATCTAAAGACCTCAATCAAATAAAACCTCTTAAAAGCTAAGGCTCTGTATGTGGGCTCTTATAACTACTCAACTTGCATATTAGATTCAAAGTAGATACTGAATAATTAGCCTCAAGATTAACCTCTCACATGGCCAGGGCCCAACGGCAGGCCCAAAGTTTTATTACTGACTTCTACAACCTAAGAATAGCTCAAACAGTTTGCATAGAAGATGCTGTAGTTACTGAATAATAAGCCTTAGTATAAGCTTGGGATTTTAAGGGGTCCTGAACCGATAACACAGTTCAGGGCTGCAGTTAAAGGTTCCTGCTTCCCAAACAAGGTTGTGGTTGATATAGTCTAGTAGGTAGCAACAGTGTCCTCCTGTCAGCAGACTGGGGTTTGGTTCCCTGCTCAAGTAGGAACACCCCGCTAATAAGAGTCTTTGGGCAAGACTCCAAACTCTACAGTTGTCTGCCTTTGTGTTTGGTGTGGCTATGCTAATCCTTTAAACTGTAGGTTTATTATTCAGTTATTTATCTGAATAGCTATTATTCAGGGCAATTTTGGGCCAGTTATGGGCCAGCGTTGGGTCAGTTTTCGGTAACGATGAGTGGTTAGGCTTGTAGGCCTTGGGATAAAGACTTTGTTTCACTTTGATAACCCTCTACATAGCAGGGTGATTGTTCAGTTATTCGTCTGAAATCTTACTGCAATCAACTTAATCAATCCAATCAACTTACTTCACCCCTTAAAAGCTAAGGCTCTGTATGTGGGCTCTCATAACTGTACCACTTGCATAAAAATTCAAAGATATGAATGATTAGTATAACTCAAATAACTAATAATACAGTTTAAGGCTGTAGTTTAAGGATTCTCCTTTCCAAATGAGACTCCTAACACCAAAGTCTATCTCTTTAACATGATTAGACTTATGTGTTCACCAGCAGATTCACAGAGATAGCTCAATCTAGCAGGCCTGGCCCACATTGTGGACTATGTAGTTGACCATTAGGGAGCCAATTACCAAACCAACATGAATCTCTGTTTGAATCCCTGCTTTCTTTTTCAATCATGCTCTGTCTAGCTGTCTTTTTCCTGGTACCTAATTTTAGCTCAGGTGGAGAGAAGAATGTTACGGGAGCCACCTTTAGAAAAAAACAAGAACGCACTGCTTCTCGGATGTCTCTTACCCTGAGAACCGCTCACCACACAGTCTCACTCTCAGTCATACGTCCATGAGACAAAGATGTTTTTCTCACATCAGCTTTCAGAAGCTTCTTAATGTCAGTTTCACTGGAGGTTTCTTCTACGTTTCCACAACTTCACTCATTCGGTTCCAACTCTACTGTCTACTTCAGCTAGCTTCCACCATGTCATTGCATCAGGAGGACTAAATAAACTGACTGACCAATAATAGGTACAGCTTCCTTGTTTCTACACCTATTGCCTATTTTACCAGGCCCACTTACCATATAGGTGCACTTTGTAGTTTGCAGTCTATTTATTCTCAGCATTGTCAGCCATTTTTTACTCTATTCATCAATAGTCAGGACCCCCTATAAATTATTTGGGTGGTGGGTCAAGGTGGACCAACAAGATAGGTGTGTCTAAAACAATGGCCAGTAAGTACACAGTCATGCCAGCACCACATACTACCATGCTGAGAATGATCCACCACCCAGGGAATACCTGCTCAGTGGTGGTTATATGGTGTTCTTGACCATCAATGAACTGACTACAGTCTGTATTTATAGAACTACAAAGTGCACCCCTATGGTAAGTGGTCCTGATAAAATGCACAATGAGTGTAGATACAACCTAGCCATCTATACAAAAGCCAAAGACCACCCTTTATTTACTTAATTTTCAGTCAAAATAGTTACTAAAAATAGGTTATTCATTTTTCAGGTGATTTTTCTGAGATTAGATATAAGATAATTAATAAGGGAGGGGTAAGTTAAAGGAAAAACACAGGCTGCAGAGAAAATAGAACTCCTAACAACTGTGCCAGACCTGCTTAACCACCAAAACTGCCCCCATCAGATAAACAGCACTTAATGCTTTGATCTTTGAGAGAGAGGAGAAAATGAAGCTGCCTCAGATCTGAAAAAAACACAGGTGTTTCTGTCCATCCTTCCACTGTGAGAAGACAACTCAGCACTGTTGGTCTGACAGGATGTATAGAGGTCAAGAAGCCCTCGCTGAGAAATGGAGGCTTAAAAGAACAAACAAACAATAACAATGGGTTGACCATATATATATATATATATATATATATATATATATATATATATATATTACTGTGACAGTGATGTATGTATGTCCATACATGCTTACATGCTGTCTCAAGAGTGCATACACACATACGGTGCACTTCTTCAGTTCATTCTCTGTGCGTCAGGCTCTCATCTGATTAAACCACATCCGGACTTCAGTTTCTGTCCCTCACAATCACAATCTTTATATATACACTGCTTAAACAAAGGAGGGGGGATGTTATAAAGTCAGTGGCTGTAATCACAATACTTTGCAATTTTCAGTTATTACCTACTATTGAATCTCATTGCCACAACATATCCACTATACACTGAGCACCAACACACTTGACCCCCAAGCCATGTGTGGACGCTTAAGCAGAACCTGCTCCATAATCAGCAGAGAATACTCAATGTCCCGGACTAGTGGCTGACTATTGTCGTATAAACTGTTACATACACCCAATAAACATCTCTGCACTACATAAGCCCTCCCCTCCACACACTCCACACACTGAGTCGCCTGTGCTAACTGCTAACGTCTACCAGAACTTTGTTTATCCTCATCCACTTTATCAGAGTCATTTATCAGTATAGGAAACTTCAGCTCACAGCTTCTGATCTGCTCAGCTGTAAGTCTAACAATAATAATCTAAAGCAGCCACTCTACAGCTAAAACAGCTTCAATTGCCATAGCAGGTACAGCTTACAGTCTTTCTAGTGAGATTCATCAGACATTAATAAGCTTGTACTTACAGTTACAGTTGCAAGTTGAGTGGAGATCTGTGGCTGCTCAAGTGTGTGTGCTCTCCTCTGCGCGTGTCTCTCAGAATGAGGTGTTATCGAGCCAATGAGGAAGTTGCTAAATGTGTGCTCTCATACCAGCAAGGAAGCTGAAGACAGAAAATACTCACACAGACACACCTTCCTTATACATGAGGCCGGTATCAGATGGTTCTTTCCCCTCTCGCTGCTCTTCCTGGAGTGACAACATGAACTCATACATGCCACAACACAAAAAAACAAGAGTTTACACAAAGCACGGCCTGGACTGGCCTGACCTGAGAGGGGAGGAATGCAGGAATGAGAATAGGAAAATAACAAATATAATAGCAATTATAAATGTAATATAACCTGTAGTTTGAGTTGTGTAACATCAGCTCATACATAAGTTAACACATCCTCTACAGGGAACACAAATGTGGTATTTTCTGCTAATACTAGGAAAATCTAAAAGGTGCCAGAACTTTTGCACAGGCCACATTTTATATTTTATTTTCCCCCCGTATGTTAAAAACAGCAAATAAACAGCAATTGGGCATTAAAATGTGTAGAAATGTGTTCTGTGTAGAGACTTATTTTTACTATATCAAATCAACAGTACTTGTCCTTTGACCAGGGTGCCTAAACTTTTGCACAATTTTTTTTTATTCTGTATATCAAATTCTTGTTTTTATAGGGTCCCCTGGGGGCCCTAGGTATTTTCCTGCCTTTGACAGTACTAAAACACAAGTTCTAACAAGTTAGTGAAGCTCCAGAGAAGAACATTGTGTCCTTTTATTGAAAACCTAACTAAATCATATTTCTGCTAAAGGGGGTATTTTGTCCCATATGTGGGGGAACTTCTTGCATCATAACACTTTGACTGTAAGAGAATTTTCCCCCCTCTCAAAACCGAGCATGCTCCTCAAAAACTATGTATTTATTTTAACAACTTTTCTTGTACTTACTGTAACTTACTGTAAAAGCATAGATCACTGTTCTCCAAAGGCAAAAGAACTGACCCCAGAAGGTTTCCATGTGAATAAAACTCAGGTATGCAGTGAGCCAGAAGAAATTTCAGGATTAACCCCTTAAATGGCCAGGGGCCTGCTGGAGTGCCCAAAGTTTTATTACACACATTTATAACATAAGAATAGCTCAGCCAGTTTGCACTGAAGTCCTTGTAGTTACTGAATAATAAGCCTTAGTATGGAATAAGACTGAGATTTTAAGGGGTTATTTAGACCACATCCATTCGGTAAATGTGTACAGGTTAGATTTGATCTTATTCTTTGATCTGAGAAAATGGGGTGGGGGTGCACCTTTTCCTTCCGGGGGGTTCCCCCCACATTGCCCTATAATTTGTGTTTTATGGGGAATTTACCTTTGACAGTACTAAAAACTTGCTATAATAGCAATTAACAGGCATTCTGGTATTTCTTAGCATACAGTGTATGTATGTATCTAATTTGTATTCATATGCTGTCCCCTAGCTCCTGGGGTCCCTAAGTGTTTGCCTACCTTCAACAGTACTAAGAAACTTGCTGCAGTAGCAGTTAACCCCTTAAAATCCTAGGCTTAGTCCATACTGAGGCTTATTATTCAGTAACTACATGGACTATAATGCAAACTAGTAAAGTTAGTAAATTTAGGACCCACTGGTGGGTCTTGGCCATTTGAGGGGTTAACAGGCACTCTGGCATGTTTTAGCACATGTTGTGTAACAATAGTGTATGTATGTATCTAATGTGTAGTTTTATGGGGTTCCCTGGCTCCCGGGGCCCCTACGTGTTTGCCTATCTTTGGCAATACTAAAATAAATGAATAAATGTAAGTAATAAGTAAGATTCTCAGGGCTTAATGCTAGCTTGTCCCTAAACCTGACTCCCGTAGAGTCTTTTATTTGTAATGTTGGACTATCTGACTGGTAAAAGAACCACTTGTGGTCCCCTTGAGAACCTTTGAAGGGCTAATTCTTTAAAGAACCATGAAAAGTGTGAGTGAAGAAACTATAATGTAATGTAAATATAAAATTTCTATATTGATTCAAGTTTTCTTTCCAAAAGTTCAGTCTTATTAGTTGGTTGCATTGGTTGGTTTGAAACAAGATCCATAAAGAAACTTTCATTTTGTTAAGTGAGCCGCAATTCAGTGCGTAGCATTAGCACCATCCTCAGACATCACTTCAAGGAAATCATGTGCCAAGCTACAACTTAAGTCAGGAATGCAGTACCAGTAAAGCCTAAGAAGACACTTCATCAATTGCAAATAGCTGAATAAGCGATGACTAACATGCTAACCCTGACTGTGTGCCTGTGTGACAGTCTGACCAAGTGTGTGAAAGTTTACCAGGGCGTTTGCACGTGGTTAAGTGTGTGTATGTGCGCTAGCATTTGGTCATGCAGGTCATGTGACAGTATCCTCATTTCTCTCTGAAAGGCGTACGAAACTGCTTAGCAAGATGACACAGCAACAGTATGAAAGACAAAAAAAGACCAAAAAAAAGCCACCTCTATAAATAGAAGTGACCTGAATGCCTTAGTCTTGTGTGAATTGTGTCAGCTTCGATGACATGACATGTTCTGCAACATTATCTGAAGATCGTGTCAGATTATAGATGAAACCTGTCTGGTTTGGTGGAACTAGACCTGTACATACTTGGGTTACAAGGCTATTATGAAATAAGTAAAAAGTTTGGGGACACCTCACCTTCTTTTGAAATGTTCGGTAACAGTTCACTGAAGGACAGCATTTGTAAGGCTACAATTGACATATGACATCTGACATAAACCTACATAAGTATTCCTAAAAAAGGCTTATTTGAAGAAGTGTCAGTTGTCATAAAAGCTGTTTTTGTCTACTTTGATGTAATATTACCTAATGTAGCCAATGTGTTATGGCAAATGAACCTTAATGGAATAAGTCTTTAATTGTCTATATACACTATATGACCAGTATGTAAACACCTGACCATCACATCTAAATGAGTTTGTTGGACATCCCATTCCAAAACCATGAGCATTCATATGGAGTTGCCCCCCTTTGCACTCTTCTGGGAAGCTTTCCACAAGATCTTGGAGTGTGTTTGTGTGAATCTGTATTCATTCAGTCAAAAGAGCATTTGTGAGGTTGGGTGCTGATGTTGGACAAGAAGGCCTGGCTCACACTCAACATTCCAGTTCATCCCAAAGGTATTCAGTGGGGTTGAGGTCAGGGCTCTGTGCAGGTCACTGGAGTTCCTCCACACCGAACTAGTCGAACCATGTCTTCATGGAGCTCACATTGTGTACACAGGCAGGAAACAGGAAAGGGCCTTCCTCAAGCTGTTGCCACAAAGTTGAAAGCATGTAATAGTCTAAAAGGTATTTATGCTGTAGTATTAACATCACTCTTCACTGGAACTAAGGGGCCCAGACTTTGAAAAAGAGCTCCAGACCATTATCCCTCCTCCACCAAACTTTACTGTTGGCACTATGCATTACAGTAGGTAGTGTTCTCCTGGCATCCATAAAACTCTGATTGGTCCATCAGACTGCCAGGTGATTCATCATTGCAGAGAACACATTCTCTCTGCTCCAGAGTCCAGTGCCGGTGTGCTTTACGCCACTCCAGCTAATGCTTGGCATTGAGTACAGTGGTCTTAGGCTTGTGTGCAGCTGCTCGACCATATAACCCATTTCATGAAGCTCTCAATGTTCTTGTGCTGATGTTGCTTGTAGTTTGGAACTCTGTAGTGAGTGATGCAACACAGGACAGGTGATTTTTACACACTATGTGCTTCAGCACTTGGAGGCCTCGCTCTGAGTTTGGTCTTCTGCTTCATGCCAGAGCTGTTGTTGCTCATAGGTGCTTCCACTTCATAATACTAGCACTTACAGTTGGCCAGGGCATATCTAGAATGACAGACAGTCTTGTGGCATAGGTGGCATCCTATGTCAGTGCCACGTTTTAATTCATTGAGCTCTTCAGTATGACCCATTCTACAGTGTTTGTCCATTAAGACTACATGCTCCTATGCTTGATTTGATACACCTGTTGGCATGGGTGTGGCAGAAACACCTGACCTCAGTAATTAGAAGGGGTGTCCACAAACCTTTAGCAATCAGTTATCATAATTAAACATATTTCTGATGGCTATCACAATCTCAGCCTGCTTTTTATTCTGACGTGACACAGTTTACTGTACATCCTGTAAATGTGTGAGAGTCCAGTGGCAACAAAGGAGCAGCTGGAATGTTTTTGGCTGTGCCAGATTTGTGTGTTTACAGAGGCTGTTGGCAAATATCAGATGAAACATGTTCAATACGCTGTTATTAAACTGTACGCTTTGTTCACTTTATCAAAAACACCTGCCTGATACTTCCACTGAACAGCTCCACCTACCTTATATGCCCACTATAAATACAGTTACAGCCCCCCCTACTCTATCCATTATTTGTCAGTTTCTGATCACATGACCAATGTTGATCAAATATGATTTTGGTGTTGGATCATATTTAACTGTACATCTAGCAAGATGCAGCTGTAGGGTGTTTTGGTAACACTTACATTCATAAGGCTACATGACACCTTTATAAACCATTTCAACAGAAATAAGCCAGTAATGCTTTCTTTTACAGTGTCCTAAGTTTTGGGTCTAAACCAGGCGTGAACTCCAAAGTACTTGATAATTATTTTGAGGTACATGATAGTAATTTCCAAGACAGTTTAACTCATTTACACTGAAATGCCAAAACAGTCCTAGATATTAACTGAGTAAATACATACAATCTACAAAGTGCTGTGTAAATATTTTAGTAAAATAATAGCAAGTTCCAAGATAGTGTAAATAAATTAGCCCGAAATGCCCAACAGGTTCAATACAAAGATATTCTTCTGAAGTAAATTTAAGTTAAGAACCCAGTAAAACCACAGTAGGAATCATTGCTTTCTTTTTCAGTCCAGATTCAGTTTCGTTAATAGGTAATCCACACATATATGCTATGTAAAACTTTCTGTACTTTGTTTATGGACTTTATCTTATTATCTTTTTTATGTCACATAATTACGTTTACTTTTTATCCAGAATACTTCCACAGCACTTTGGAGTTTGTACCACATACTTAGTATCTAGAATCTGTTTGGCATTCGATTGTAGTTAGACAGTCTTGGAACCATCATGTTACCCAAAATGATTACCTACATTTTGGGTAACATGATTAC